AAGTGACCCCGGGCCACTCTGGTAGCCTAACAGAATAGAAAAAACAGGCATTGATCCTGATCAATCTTGATCTAACCAATCAACATGAAAACTTTTTCAAAGAGTTGACCAAGAGTAGAGTTTTGCCTTTTCCAGTCTTTGAACTTCAATGCCCAGTCATTCCCTCGAGTCTCAATGTTGCAGCGGGAAATGACTGGGTCCTCCTCCAGTCAATCCCCGCTGCAACATATGGACTCGAGAGTTTTTTTTGGCACATCCATGAGTTCCATTGGATAGGTGCTGTGTTCAATCATCAACTTCAATGCCCATTTGGCCTGCGAAGGAGCCACCCTATCACCGGGTCACAGGTGGGGAGATCATATTCCGCATGGCTGATTTGTGGAATAAGAAGAAAGGTTGTAATAATAATCGTTCAAAATCAAATTTAATCAATATACCAGAAAAGACTAGAATTGTGGAATAAGAAGAAGCCGGGGGAAAGGAACCAGACTGTTGCTTCCCAGAATGGCAGGAGCCAGAGCCACGAGGTTCTGTTGTGTTTTGGGGAAAAAAAGAAAAAAGAAAAAAAAAAAAAAGGTTGTAACTTGTAAGTGGAATAAGAAGAAAGGTTGTAATAAAAAGATGCCGAGGAATTGCGCCCGAGCCATCGGTAAGCGCGATAACGCAGCGCTGCGCTAAGTCGTGCTAGCGCCCAAAACCAGGCCCGCTGGGCCGACACCCTCACCACGGTCTCACCCGCGCGGCTTCACTGAAGCCGTTTCCCGCCGCCCCACCAGACTCTCATCGCGCAAATTTGCCCACGCTTTTTCGCCCGTGCAAATTCGCCCCCACGAACTTTGACTCAGGGCGGCAAGCTCCGCCATAGCCCCGATCTTGGCAGAGAAGCTTCCTCCACCATTCATGCGCCACGAGCGCGCCTTCGTTGCAGGCGTCTAAGGTCCCACACCTGGGGGTGAGAAGCAACCTCACCTGGAAGAGAAGCCCCTGACACCACTAGCTCATCCCACGTGCCCCGTCTCCGCAGGCAGCCAAGAATCCGAAGGAGGCAGCAGTCTACTCGCAGGGAGAAGCAACCCACCTTCAGACAAGGCGCCTTCAGCCCGTTATCGGGCTCTCCCAATCCAAAAGGCCCACCATCCTTCTTCGGCGAGCTAACTCAGCCACGTCAGCAAGGCATCTTCCACCTTCAGACAAGGCGCCTTCAGCCCGTTATCGGGCTTTCCCAATCCAAATGAGTGAATTTTGCATGGAAAAAACACACTTTTGCCTTGCTGTTTTATAGCTTTTTAAAGTTCTTTTTTCAATTTTGTTTTTGTACGTAGTTAGTATGATCTCCACTCWATGAATTGGTGGCAAGTTTGGTTAAAATGACCCTTGGGTTTTGTTATAAATGGCCTGACAAGTGGTCTGAAA